ATCTTAAAAAAAATGACATAAGGATTTCATCTATACTCTGAAATCCAAAGCTATTCTTTGGCTTATGATACTAACAAGTTTCTCTGCTTACAGATTTACCTTGAATCGAACAATTGGTCAATAATTATAACCAATTGGTGAATATTTATAATTCTGCTATTCAATTTTTCCTAGTAGTCTAGCATTTACACAGCATGTTCACCATCACCACTGCTTTTTTCTTCATTAAGAAGCTAATATTGCTTGAGGAATCTTCCTTCCTCTTTCCACTTTACTGATTAATTGGGAATCCTTTAATAGAGTTACATATGGACTGTTTTGCAAAAGGTCTTTTGGAATAAGAAACTTTGCTGTCGGGAGGGAGGATTGGTTTCGAGTGGGGTTTTGTTTGTTCTTAACCAGTGAAAAGGACAGCTCAATTAATTTTAAGCATCATGTAATGGCAAATTATTGCCATAAGAACAGAACATTTTATTCAGTAGGAAGAATCCTAAGAAAGGACATGATGATGAACACGCCTATCGTTATCTTTTGTTAGAAGGAACTATACATGCATTACTCAGTTCTACTGCTGTACAAATCCTGAAGATATACGTACATTTCTATGCAGTTCCTCCAAATGAAATTCTGAAATTCCTTTCAAAATAACAAACAGCAGAAAATATTTTAAAGTTTTCCCAATGGTGAAATTTACTTGTAACACAAACAAATGCAACTTTTCATTCTATAAATACATAGACTATAATTCAACAGAGGACTGAAAAGGTTATTCTGGATCTTGGGCAAAATTTCAGTAAAAGTCACCTACTTTGCAGAGATTCATCCTCACCTTTTTCTTGTACATTCTCCTGTTGTATAAATAGGCAATGACTTTAAATTCTCCAACTATTTAGGGCTGTGCTCCTGCACAAGTCCAGAGCTGCCCCATTATAAGCAGTATAGTGCCTACTTCATGTTAAATCAACTTGCTGATTCTAGGTGATTACCAATTCAGCAGGGAGGAAAAATGAATTGGTACTAGGCAAGAGTCTTAATTTCCTACAGTCAATAATGAAATGTGCTAATTACCTCTGTTTTGTCCTGTGAACTTATCAGAAGCTCTTTCCATCAATAGAAGAGGGAATCCCCACTTCAACACCTGCTTGTTGGATTAGGGGTGGGAGAGGTTTGGAACTAAAGCACTTATGTTAGGTATTTAAAATAGACAATCTACATAATGAGGTGCTGAGGTCACTGAAAAAAGTGTCCACCTTCAAGAGGAAGTTCCAGGCTCTGGGTTCAAAATGAGCAAATATATGGGTAAATGTAAGTGATACAGCTAATAGCCAAGAAGGGGTTGGGATTTCAGACACAACTCATAACTTTATTACTTCCTACTGACTGGTTGTTGCCAGCTTCTTGTCAAATGTGCTTGATACCATTTACATACTAGTTTGAAGCAAAACAACTGGCTAGCCCAGAACCAGTATAGAAAATCTAGGATTCCTCTTCAAGACCTAGGAAGGAACTTCAGCTCTTAAGCAAATAAATCCTTTCTGGCATTTTTTAACGTCCATTTTTATCAGTGCTAAACAAGATGCACAAATCAACAATTAATACAATAAGAACAATTCTTTTTACTCTGTCCAAGATCACAAGAAAAGAGATCAGGAAAAAAAAATCTATGCCTGAGAAATTAAAACAGGTTCACCTACATCTCTGACACCGTGCATAATACTGTTAACTCTGTTGCCAGAATGGATCTCTTAATTTTTTTTCTAATAAAAAAAAATTCTACTATATTCAGTTACTTATATCAAGGCAAGAAAATGCTAAGTTGTTACTCAAAACTACCCAAATGTTTTAAGTGCCCTGGAAGCTTGTCTCATGCACATAACTCCACACTTTTACATTCTGTAGAGATCAGAAAGACAGTCTGCATTTCCCTCTCTACTATTGGAGGTTCACAAAAGTGAACACACATGTTATGAAGAGTTTGGGTTTGGTTTAAAATCAGTTTTCCAAAGTCTCAGTATTTGTGGCTCTTGGTTCAAATGACAAGTAGCTTCTAACTGCACTCAAAAAGGACTGAAATACAGCTGTTTGTATAAAATTTATAAGATCCAAACTAAAAACAAAAAAAACCCCACCACCAAACAACCTTTGAAAATAAGTAGTATGCTACTGGGCAAATTAACATTGACGAGGTATTTTTGTGTAATTTTAAGATTCAGTAAAATGACTTGTCAAGGTTACTTAAATGCTCTCTTTTTCACTGCAAAGTTTTTCAGTTTTGATAATAGAAAAAAAAATTGGCTTTATCTAAGATATAGCTATTTCATTTATTATTCAGCCAATACTAGACATTAGGCTCAAACACTTGTACATGGCAATTGCAGTAGTTCCAAGACCAAATAAAAATATTACAATTGTTTCACAACCCATTCCTAGAAGAATTCAAAATGGGTATGACACAAATTCCAGGCACATTATAATCTAGATTTTATTTAGTCACATATACCACATCAGATTTCAGATGTTAAGAGCTCATATTTAATTGTAACAAGATGCAATGTAGAAGCAAGCAGACTTTCTCAAAATAATTGTTATTGCTCTGTAAGCAGCACTAGCTTATTATTTACTATAAAAAACAAAAAGCCAATTTGATAAACAATGATAAAATGTAGAAGCTGGTATATTAGAACATTTTACATTTTTATTAAAAATTTAAAGTTTCGGGATGAAAAGAAAAAAAATTCAGACATCAGTCTTCCACAGACATCAGCTTATAGACATAGTAGACAACTAAACAGACACTGTAGATGGACTTTCCAATTGACCCGGGTCAGTTGTTCTTATTTTAACTGTGCTTTGTATTAAATGAAAGAGAAGCACTTGAAAGCAAGCCATGTATGATATATGCTGCATACCTGTGGGTATTATAGCTTTAGATCAGCAGAAGCTCTTGCCACATACACAATTACTGGGTGGAAAGCTTGTTCCTCAACTCTTCATATACTAACAAAGAGAAAGGTTTGCTGCCAATGGCAGCTCCAAAACACTCCTCCTATTCTGCCTAGGCTGGTCTACATGAGAAGTACCATTACAGAGCATACATGGCTTTTGCTTCACTAATTGAACAAAACAGTACAAATATTGAATACAATACAAAGGGAAGAATACAAGTTAGCAAAGGGAAGTTGTATGAGAAGTATAAAACCATATACAATTGACTTTCAAATTTGTCTCCTCTGTAGCCAGGCAATTAAAGTCAAAGAAAAGACACCGCTTCAATTGCCCAGAGACAAGTAGAGGCTCCACAGCAAGGAATTTAAAAGAATGAAAAGCAATAATTCTGTTTGTCAGAGATGCGCTGCCTGGAAAGGATTAAATACACTTTCCTCATCTGGGGAAAAGTGGGTATACCCAAAATGGTTCTTAATCAAAATCTGCTTAGTCCAGCAGGACATATTTTCCCATGAAATGTCTTACCAAGAAGTTACTTTGGCAAGGCTGTCTGCTTTTCCTGGAAGTTTAGCAGTGAACAGTGATTAAAAATACCACAGTTCCAACAACGCTGGTCCATTCTTCTACATAACATCCTTAGTCTGTTGATTAGCATTATATCATTTTTTTTCAGGAACCATTACCATTCTTTCCATTCTTCCTTAACACTATGCAACACCTCTTAGCAGCACTCATATTTGTTCCTTGGACTTCTTGTAACAGGTACAAAGACAAAATGTATACTTGCTATCTGTGACTACCATTGATGTGTTGTTGACTTGGCTAGACTATTAAATAACAATCGCACTTTCTCCTTCACACCACATCAGTGGAAGGTACTAGTGAAGACCATAAGAAAAATCAGTACCAAAAAAAAAAAAAGAAAACCACTGTAAGAAATCACTTTGCTAATAAAAATTTACATGTTGTTCCTAGTGTATGACAGTACAGAGAAAAAGCAGGAAAAGCAAAATAGAGAGTGAGGAAAACAAGTGGGAACTGATACTCTTTCTGCTTGGTCAGTTTCTTGGTCAATTTCATAGTGGTTTGCCTTGACTAGCAGGATGCTTGGTTCCCTGCACTAACCTGAGGGTTAAAACAAACATGAATTTAAGGAATGGGAATCAGCTAAGAGGCACACAGCCACTGAATAGGTGGTTTGTATCACTGATGCTAAGAGATTAGCTAAATTTGAGCTGGCCCCATTTGCTTTCCAGATAAGGTTAAAAAAGACATGTTATGCAGAAATTCCTACATTTCCTTCCAGAAGGTAATACATAGACTTCAAAGACTTCTTAAATGAAAAACTGAAGTTTACTTTTCTTTCTATATTCTTAGCAAGCATATCTGATTACATTAGTATCTCAGAAAGATTCATTTTCAGAAAGAAAATGCAGACAAATATAATTACTTAGGTATTCATAAAGATTTCCAGACACAAGATCTGAATAATCTAACATGACATAATGGACATTGAAATACAAATTAATTATTTCAGCTGTAACACAGTAGCAGTCCAAGATATTGTTAAATTTCAAGCTTTTCAACTATTTAGTGAATCAATTTTGATCAAAAACTACGATAGATCACACCTTTACAACAGTCCTGCTTACTTATGTAGATTAGTTGCTTTTCTTAAATTGTCATAAGAGGAGGTAAGGGTTTATAAACAACATAAGTGGACATCACATTTTCTGTGAACTTTGTTATACTGATCTATCAAAAGGAACTAATCTGTGCTGTTCAACAAACATACAAAGAAACAAATTATCCATATTAAAGAAATGTTTAAGTAGTTACAAACAACAGTGGGATTAGAAGGATTATAGAAAAGGTTACTCCTTAATATGAGTCACTTTAAAAGAGTGAACTCATCAGCCATTGAAGTACTTTCCATTCAATCTGTAAAATATATAAAGTGGGCACAGATAGAGAACATATTAATGTACAACTGGAAAAGCTTTCTTAAAATTTGAAAACCGCGTAACTTCTATGCAAGCATTAAGTAACTAAGAATGTGTATCTCATCATACATGTTAATTCTCTCTCTCTCTCTCTTTTCTCAAGGTTTTCTACTCTCAGTTTCAAAATCTCTGCAAAAGGTAGAAGATGAAGATATGTTTCTAACCACATTAAATCTAGGAAAAATTCTTCAAAATGGAGATAGAATTGCGAACAGAGGACCCATGCCTTTCCTGAAGCATTATATGACTGAAGAAAGCAATGTTTTGGATGAAGAGGATGAGAGAAACAAGAAGGTTTGGGTTAGTTTTCACTTTTATGTTTTGGTTTAATTGTAAAATGGAAATACTCTTTATAGCCCTTTAGAAAACAAGTACAATAATTTAAAGCAATAACCTGATGAATAGAAAAAAAAATAGTTTAGCATACTATATTCAAGAATAAATTTTCAACAGTAAGTCTCTAATTCTAAGATTTTAAATGTGTAATTTCAAATAAATTGCACAGACGAATAAAAAAAAAATCTTCACGGAACTACATGTAGCCAAAACTTGTATTGAAAAAAGCCTATATTTATGTTTGATTCAGCATGTTCCTATATGCAGCAACAGGTTTTTAACTCCACCAAATATAACGTTCTTTACCATAAAATCATTTTGGCCCAAGATGTAATGCAGGTCATTACTTTTAAAATATCATATTGAAAGATAAAATACTTTCACTGCTAAGTGTAAAGTATAAAAAGTGAACACAACTGACTTCAAATTAAGATAAACTGCTACTCTCGTTTTCCCTTGAAACAGGACACAGGTTCCAGACATGATTTCTTAAATCATGTTATACCAGTCAACTTCGGTAGAAAGCAACTACCTTATCTTGCACTGAAGGGAGCCATGGCTTTTCCAGCTGACACTGAAATACCAAATATTGAATCAATACAGGAAAGAGAGACTACAGATGAAGAAAATACAGCTAAATTCCCTATAGGAAGGAGAGATTTTGACAGTAAGTACATTTTAACTTTTACAGAAAAATTATTTCATTCTGATAAAGTATAATCAATGTCTCCACAACAATTTGACAAAGGTTCATTTAGAAACTCCATGTCATGCTTGGGATTTTCTAGGGCTGATCAAATCTTGCTTTTCCAGTTTATATCTATTGTGATTTGGTGCACAGGGGAGGAAGTATTTGTTAAATTAATATTTCCAGAGGCCATAATGGATTCTAGTTCTTTAATGATTTAAACTTTCTGATTTTTTTTCCTGTAGTGCTCAGGTGTATGCTGGGAAGAGTCTATCGACCTTGTTGGCAAGTCTGAAAACTACCCTTCTATGTGACCTTCTTGGAAGATTAAACATTTTATTATGAATGTAATGTAATTTGAAGTTACGGTGTTTTTGTGTGGCTATACATATGCATCCAAAAATACTTTCCCATTGCATTGTAGAGGGAAAAATAATTCATTACCAGCAAAGAATATAGCTGTAATTACTAATGATGGATTGTTATCAAAAAATAAAAGACTTCTGCATAATCCAGACTTGTGTTTGTCTAACATTACACACAAGCTACTTCTCTGATTTCAGTATGGAAGGAAGCAATACGTGAATTTCACCCTTTTCTTGAAAAAAGTTTTCAACTTCTGAACCAAACAATGTATCATGTACGTCAAAACCAAACTTAGAGTTGAAAAAAGTGAGTTAATTTTGCCTGACCAGCAATCAACTCGTTCTTGCTTGCAGATTTGGTATGTTTTCTTTTTCCACTGATTTTGCTGTCCAATTCCTTCTGAGGGTTGTTTGAAGTCTTAGGTCTTTTAGCATTTTTTTGCAAAGATGGTTCACTTTCCTTATCACAGATTACTTTGTCATTATCCAAATCCATCTGTTCACTCTTGGCGTTCTTTTTCCTTGGCTGACAACTCAGCTTTCCCAATTCTTTATAACTTCTAGTCTGGTGAACGTTTTCAGAAATAGTTCCAAGCACTGGTACATCAAGACATGAATTCATACCTTCTGTCATGTAAGAATATCAAAAACATATGTGAAGAAATAAAAAGTTACCTGGGATGATTCATCCTTTTTCTATCAGAGGACTGTCATAGGATTTTTTTAATCAGAAGTAATGCTTTATCAGTAAAACAAACCTATGTTGGTCATTGCTGTCATATTTATTACGTGTTCATAAGGGTACTGTCAATTTAAAATTATATTGCTCCAAAACATGTAATAGCAACTAATTTAGGGAAGTGGATTTATAACTTTAAGATATTGGGAAAGATGCTTAAAGGACCTAGAAATTACATATAGATATGGTTTATACTGGAGTAAAACAATTTATTCCCCTTTTTTAATGGCAAAAATACAAATTTCATTTAGCTTACTTTTGTAAAGTAAGAAGAAACATTATGTAATGTATGTAAAATGTATCTTTTTTTACCTCAAGATATCATCAACATTTTTTTCAGATTTATATTTTCAAAGTATTAGCATTACAGTTTTAATGCAAACACATTTAACTGATCATAGCATACACAATGCAATAAGACATCTTATTTTTTTCTTGAAAACATATTTATACTTGAGTTTTACTAAAGTCTTGTTTGATAACATTTGAAACATTAATTATCACATTTACTTATTCAATCCTACTACAGCTTACCTGTGAGGTATCCAACTTTTAAATGTTGCTTTGGTGCAGGATGTATGCAGCTTGGAATGTGGCTACTGCCAAGGAAATACCAACCCTGGATTTCACTGAACTGATTTTTATATGTACATGCAAACTGAGATTTGATTGAAGATGGCTTCATCTGCAAATAGCAATCTGGTATTAGATTTAACTATTTACAAAAGTAAGAGACAACACCTGCAAGACTAATAAAATAATAAGTTTCCCCATTCTTCTCTCTTGAAAGCTTTTAGATCACATAAAATACCAGAAAAATGAGTGCACTCACATAAAAAAAAAATATGAACTATTAATTTCCAAAGTGTAAAGGTTTTCAAGAATACTAATAAATTATTCTATTAAACTCCTAAAATAATTTTAAAATATTTTTTCATCTCTTTCAGAAAGTTGCACATGAAATTTTAGAGTTTCAAGCTACAATTTTCTGCCAAAGTTAGCCCCCTCTTTTAATAGACTGCAGACTCCACCATTTTGAATAGCTGTCATAGCTACTACAGTCAATTATCATACTTCTGCAGGTCATAATCTTTGAGATGTCTGTTCATAAACGCCAAGTATAGGATGAGTCTCACCAGTTAGCCAATTTATACACAGAGGAAAGCACAACAGCAACACTGAAAAGGAATTATAGATAACATAAACTAAGCTTCAAAATACCTATTCCTAAAATTGGAATATAAAGTTTTATTTCAGATCATTCTTTGGCAAATTTCAGATTTCCCATTTATACACAAAATAAAGCCATTTCTTCATTGAATAACAATGTCTAACTCCACATTTGTCAAAACATACCCACATAGTATAAGTTGCCAGAAATCTACAGTACTGAAGAACACTATTTTATCTGATTCTGCATGCTCATCTCCACGCCCTAGTCCTGGAAGCAGGGAACCTAGGCTCATAGACCAGGTAAATCAAACTATTTGGTTCAATTACAAAAAATATAATAAAATTTGTCAATATATCAATATTTAATGGAATGAATGGTTACAGGTCAAACTTCCTCAGTTTACACTTAAGTGACAGCTTCACATCAGCTTATAATTTCAGGGTCAAGCTTTGCACTTTCTGGCCAGTGCATCACAAATACTATAGGCTCTGCAAGACAAATTCAACATACAAATAAGCTGAAAGGTATAGCACAGAGCATATAATTACAACATATTGGGATTTTTAGGTAATAATTCTGTTACAACAGCACAGGTTAACTCAAATAAATTTGAGCTGAACAGGTGCTACAGTACAAATATCATGAAAAAGAAAAAGCAAGAAACAGTCACAAAAGAAATGGCACTATATATACAGATAACAGGAATGATTTGTCTAATAAGAGGTTTACAGACACTTCTCTGATTAAAAAGTTTGCATTATGCAACTCTACTTTTCTCCTTAACACAGGCACGTTTAAATCTTACAGTTCAGGTTTGACCCTTACAGATATACTTTTCTTCCAACTCAAAATCTCAGATTTAGACAGAATGAAAGAAAATATGTTCCCAGAAACCTCCTTCCACAAAATTCAGTCACAATTTATGCCACTTTCATCAGATACTGTTTTCATCCATATAAGTTAACAGACTCTAGCTTTTTATCATTAAGATGTAACCTAAGTATCTCTTCACAATACCGCAGTTGGCCAGGTGAACACATGTACAGTCTTTCTGGCAAAAATATCCCATTTATTTACAGAAACATAGTTGTTGTTTCTGACTTAATATGTCTGTACATATATAGTTTTGCTTTGAACTCGGTATTCCCCTCAAGAGTTAAAAAGACTCAATTTTCTCAATTGTCCGTCACTCCCAAACTGCAATTTCTCTGTGCCAGATAACAGCCTGAGAAAGAAAGACAGACTTAACAGAGAGAACTAGCCAGCCTGACACTCAACAATTCTATTATTTTTTAAGTGTTAGTCTACTCCGTACTTAAAATATTTACCACAAGGTAAGACTATATACACAGACATTTACAAGGTTTTGTGCGCTTCTAGTTTATGCCTTAGCTCACCAAATCATTAAGTGTATGTCATTAACTTTATACTCTTTTCAGAAAGTGTTTTGAAGGATAGAGAAGCTATACCCAGAACAATTGAAATAATTAAAAATGCACTCTATCCTAGTTTAAACCTAAGCAACATCCTATTGTACAATTACAATATTCAGAATACAAGGGGCTTACAATTTCTTTAAGCTTAAGGTTACCATAATACTAATGAAAAATATTTTCCTGTATTTGCTGTTTCTTAAACACTTCACCCTTATCCTTTAAACTTCCCCCAATTCTTAATTATTGTTCAGCAAATGACATGTATCCAAAATTATGCAATAACAATTTGCACAGAGTTCTATGACACATTCACATTGCAAGAGGCAAATAAGCTACAATTTGTCCTGAGTTGATCAAGATATAATAAACACAGCACGAAGAACTTCAAACTTGAGCAAGAAAGCCTGATAGTTACTATTCTATAACCAACAGTATATCCAGTTATTTTTGTGGACATCAGGGTTTATTTTTAACACCCTTATCTGACACTTCACTAACTCAGTTTGCAGTGATCAGAATATGTGGAGTCAAAGGACAGAAGCTCAAACATGGAAAAACTTGCAGCACAGACCCATCTGTCTTTTTCAGCTTCACTGAAGCTTGAAATGCGCCTCAAAACTTCATTCTCTATTGCATCACATACCATTTAGTCATTCACAAGCCGTATACAAAGCTCTACCAAATGACTGTTTCGGCTGATGCTAATACTAATCTGGAAAGTATATATAAATCAGGAGTGTGAGCCTAAATTTGTTGAAGCAGTCAAAAAGTCAAAGACGTATATTCACTAGTAAAAACAACCACTACATTGAGTGAGGCAGCAATAAGTAAATTTTAATAGCCTGAAGGCAGAACAAAATAGCAGTAGTGCTGAATTAAAAAGTAGTGTTTCACTGTATTGTTTCTAAAGAAAAGAGCAACTTAAAACTTGATTGCAACACACATAATGAAATAGCTCTTAGAAATAGTTCTTAGAGTTCTTTCAAATTAAATTCTCTAAAATCCACCGCTTTGAGGGCACCATCCCAATGACCCACAGCTCTGGAAGAGCAAAAAGATGTTGTCCACTCAATTTGCTTATCAAGTAGTTGCACACAAATGGCACAAAGCAAACTCAGACGTATTATCCCTTCTCCTCTTCACAAGCAAGTAGGATGTTGCTGTTATTCCTATACAAAGAAATTCTGCTGCATTTCAGAAAAAGCGGGTTGCTGCTACCATTTTTTCAGTTTAAAGAAATTATGACAGAATTTAAGACCCTGCTTCAGCACATGTAGGTTAATGAGTAGTCCTCATGAGTGGACAAAGCAGGTCCCTCTCCCACCTTGACTTCCGTATCTAGAGAAGTTTTCCAATTATTCAAGATGCCAATATAAAACATTCACTTTTATATGAAATATTAGTGGTGCATGCTCTATGTATTTCTAAGTTAGTTGATAATCTATTCCAGATCTCCTTCCAGCATCTGCATACAGACAGTACTGCCAATATTTAGTCAGTAAGAATGTTGAGATTTGTTTTTTATACACTGGAATTGCATAATAGAATTTGAAAACCTACATCAGTAACAACAAACACATGTTTTTATTTTCTAGCCAAACAGAGTACTATTTGGAAGAGGAAAAGAGATAGAAAGAGAAAATGTCTTTTCTCCACCCTTACCCTTGTCCTTTTAGAAAAAAATATTGAAGGTAAGTTGAAAGATAAAGTTGGAAAAGGGAAAGGAGTGCAAAAGGAAGTGTAACAAAAAAAGAAATGGGAAGTATAATTGCCAAACCAAGGCATCATGTTATTCAAACATGAAAAATGTCCTGAATAGCTAATAGGTAATAGCAAGCTTTTATTGTACTGCAACTACCAAATTTTTTTAGCATGACACTGTATCAACCTTTTGCTATCCTAAATTAACCTGCTACTGTTTTCAGAACATTTAGCCGCAAATCACCTCATTATTGGGTTTTGAAAGTACTCAAAACTCACAGCTAAAGCTCCTAGGGAAGTAGTTTAGGGGTCTTGTAGAAACAAAAATGGTATTTTCTACACAGCCACGGTTTATCAACTGACACTAATAATAAAGTCTTTCTTCAGATTTTGTGCTGAACATAACCTTTTTCTCCCCTTCCCCTTTCTCCTCCAGATGCTAATTTTTAGCATACTCCATCCACATTAAAACTACTAGTCAGCTTAGTGTGCTCCATAATTGTATTCCGCTTAGAAATAAATATTTCCTGCTACAATAGATGAGAACACTACCTGAGGAAGATCTTTTTTTTATTTCTATGAATTTTCTGCTCACAATTATAGTGGGCATACAGAAAACTCTTGATAACTTCCTGTTGATAGTTTTCCAAGTCACAGTTTATTTATACTGGAATCACAGAGAGGCAAAACAATTCTCTCAAGTAACAGCATTTACAGAACAGCAATGAAAAATAACAGGAGTGCATAAAGCTAGACATTAAGTAATTTTATATAGGCATGAACAAGTCACATGAGAAAGGCAGACTGGATTTTTTTTCTTTGTGGAGCTTTTTCCTTGGAAGGATTTCTATACACAGTAAAATTACAATGAACTTCAAGCATGCCAAGATTTGTTAGAGTTCTTAAGCCACAAATTCTTTTTCAAACTAAAACTACAGTTATGTTCCCAATTGGAGGGAAATAGTGCCTCATATAGGAAAGGTTGTCTCCAGTTACATTAAGAAGAAAACATGCCAAACTACTGAAAGTCCTTGTAGCTGTTTCAGGGTAAATGTGTTAACAATGCAGCAGGATTTCTAAAACAATGTATAAAAAGGCCAAAACAGTCCTAAGTTTACAAAAAAAGATCTCTTGCTCTCTCCTATATTGCATGCTCGCAGCCTAATAGCTTTTTGTTCCTTCTTTCTTAACTCCTAAATTCTCAGTTTCATGCAATCCCATTAGTCAGGAACAGTATTTTACCAACAACATGAAGGTCTAATCAATCTTTTCGGGTGCAGAAGAAAGATGAAAATCTTACTATGCAACATTTTTGTTGTCTTAAGTTGCTCTTTAACCTAAACAAAAGCAGGTGACTGTAACAGTCCTTCCATTCCTCTCTTACCAATAAGCAGGGCTCACATAACCCCATCAAAATCAACAAAACGAGTAGTCAAACAATAGGGTACCTACCCATTTTGGATAAATGGAAGTATGATTCAAAGAAGCAGACATAAGTTTGGATGAACCCTTTTTAGATAAAATACCTCCCTCCTGTCCAATTAAACTTTCTACATATTTTTATAAAGCAGAAAGGAGTGATAAGGACAACTGACAGGAGATACAGCTCAGACGTAGACCTATAGACCTTCCAGAATTAAAGACTTCTTCCACAAAATACCATTCATGAATCGACACTTCACTTAAACAATAGATAAACTTGAAACTCTAAATCGTCTCTCAAAGGAAGACTGAGCTTCTTATTATTCTTACCTTCTTCTGTTGGGGGGAATGAAAAAATGAAACATGCCAGTTCCCCAGACTTCTTTCTCCTCAAGGGATAAGAGCAACAGCTTTGCCTCCTAACAAATGCAGTTATAGTTAGGTGATCTTTCTGCATCTCTTCCAGTATTTAAAAAGGATTGAAAGACAAAAATGCCTTTGTCTTTCACTGTTGCCAGGAATTTGTTTTGGCACAATGGATATACCCACAGATTTATTTTATTTTTAAGCACCAATTCCAGTTCATAGCTACCCATTTACTTTATCCACTCTCCATATTTTTAGATACTGAACACATATGCATGTTGTGCCCTAGGTGTAAATATTATCAGTCTGCACTCCTCCACATAATTTGCAGAAATTGTGAGAGATCAGTTCCTCTTAAGGAAGGAGAGGGCATAATCTCTCTTTTTTTTTTTTCTTATTTACAGATGTACTTCTCCTTTCATTTCCTAGACTGTCCTAGATTTCTTTATTCAACACATACATCTTAATGATACTCGGTGTACAACCAAACTAATCATCACTAACATGTTTTTCTTCCCCTCTCAAATATCATGGAAAAGGAAACTTTTATGGGACACGTTCTACTGAGAGATCATGAATTTGTACTATAGACTAACCATCTAACCACCTCTCAGAGACAGCATGGTAAAAAGATCCTTAATACAATTTTATGGAACTAACGGTACCATGACACATACTGCGTAAGAAACTTCTCAGAAGAATCATTGACATTGAGAAGAAACATCATGTTGCTATGGTCTTACTCAAAAAACCTGTATGTTTCATGAGTCAATTGTTAAAACGAGTGCATTATGCATATCGAAATTCACAACTGTGAATCTTACAAGCAACCTGTACACATTTCAAGGTGGTCATATGAAATAATAATTACAACATATTCACTGTAAGAAAGTGATAAATGTTACTACAGCATTTGAGATCTATGGGCATGGACATGGAATTCATTGTGCTATGTGCTGCACAGTAAAGACAGAACAAAATGTATTTCTACCAAGAGACATTACAATCCAAGACAAGAAGTATGTGGATTCATAGAGAAAGGAACTGAAATTAGTCATTGTAATGGGCATCCCTTTCAATACAAAGCACTGCTAAGTTTTGGGGAGAGGTTGATTTAAAGGTACTGAAAAAGGTTTTAAAGGAGGATAATGAGTTCTGCAGATACCTATAGGAAATCTCTTCAGTACAAAACAGAGAGCTGAAAGAGCTAGTCTGAAAATTAACAAATGGACAATGAAGACTGCTATTGCTGGCTAAATATAAGGAAGGACAGATATCTCAAAGGAGCAAATGAGAAATAATAAATGGGTTGGGATAGGCTAAAACAAGTAGTTTATATCTACTATAACTTCAAGGATTGAGATGCAAACAGAAGAATGGCATCTAGCATCTAATCACTTTGATAACAACTTTTTGTACAGCAATCTCAGTGAAGAAAGATAGACCAAAGCTGCAGCTATCAAGTCCAAGAAAAATACACATCAGCATATCAAAAAGCAAAATGAACCTTAAAAAAATTATAGCTGTGTGGACTGAAGGATACAGAAGAAGATATTCCAGAATTGTTATAGAGTGAAAAGGTAACAGGTAGGATACCATCCTCAATGTTAAATATACCAGGAAAGATAGACATACCATCTCAAGATCAACAGCTGGGTATTCACAGGATGGTATCAAAGTAACAAAAGATGTCAGTTTTGGCAGAAGGGACACTTAGGTCAGATGTAGATCTGTGAACTGTTCATATAAAGATGATAGCTGAACATCTTTTTATAGATTTATTCACCCACAAAGAAGGTAGAGAAAGAGAAAGAAAGAAGAGAAAGACGGGGCCCTATAGTCTCCATAGAAAAAGGAAGAAAAGGAATGAGTAGAAACATGCAAAAGAAACTGCAGAAATTGTTAGAAAGGTAGGAAGTAAAGCAGAAAAAGACAAAATGAAAGACGAAGGTTGCAAGAAAGACAGCAGGATTTTATGTGAGAGGATGGAGATCAAAGATGAATGTCAGAGAAGTGTCTGAGTTTCAGTTAGAAAAGTCATTAGTTGTTTGGCAACAGCAATTTTAGTTAACTGTAAGAAGAAGCAAGACTAAAGTGAACATAAGAATACCAGAGGAATAATTCCAGGCTTCACAGGAATAGTATAGCTTAGATGGCAAAGTTTGGCCAATACACAGGAAAGAGAATTGCAATCACAATGTGAAATACTCAGACATCTTGAGTAAGAGGACTCTATGCTGATACATAATTGAGGAACATTTACACTCTGAATGGCATGATTTTTATTTTCACTTTTTAAATGCAAAACCATCTTGAGATATTTGGCTTCAGTTCCATGCTGTACTTTGTCTCTCTGGTACAATAGGATACACTGGAAGAAAGCCGTAAAGAAGACTTACTGTGATTACAAGAGGCAGTTTAGCAGCCCCAACGTTGCTCTAAATTGAGTAGTATAGCTCCAAGCAGCCATTCAGCTTAACATGTTAATCACATGTTAACATCCACATTGGTAAACAAGCAGAATAGAGTCCACCATCATGGATTTAATCTACAGAAGATAACACTATAAACAAGCTTTACAGTCTTCTAAGATGCCAAACTGAATTTAGAAGGGTGAAACACAGACTTTAGACATATTGTTTGTTCTCCTTGAATTTTTGTTTTCATAAGACAAAATTTATATTTCAATATAGACATCCTCAATTATATTAGGCACCTGGTGAGCATCAAAATCAGTTCTAGAGGCTGACTGAAAGATCTTAACTACTCGCTAAAAACATTAGATATTTCATTCTACTTTGCTACAGGTACATTCTATATCATGAATAATGGTGAAGCAAGACTAGGACAAGAGTCCTACAGAAAAAGTCAGATTCTTGTATTTTATTAACAAAGGTCACAGAAGTCACAGAGCCCTTATTGAAGCCAGGCACTACAAAAGCAGCACATGAGAGTGTCATAATGAACCTTTGCATGCAACTCCTGCTCCTGAAGTAGAACTCATTCAATTATTTAGACTTCTGAAAGAACTACCATTTGCACAGAAATTACTGTAGCTAACCTGTCATTTTTGATTAGCAAAGAAGTATTTCCAAAGAAAGTAAAAATAATTTCATAAAATGAAGCAGCCTCAAGAGTCATATTTTTGATAGTTTGTGTCAAAAACCTTGTAAGTTTTCAGTAAATGTCTCAAAGGTGACATAAAACTACTTTTAGATAACAATTTCTGTACTTTAATACTGAACACAGTTGTTCACTAATACAATTACAGAACCACCATTTACATAAGAAAACTATGTATTTCAATGTATTATGCAAGCAGCATATCACACTTTTGCCATTTGATGAGTAAAGCTGCAATTTAAATATGCTGTTTAATGTAAACTTAATATAATTAATATCCTTTATCAACTTCAATCTTTCATAATTCGCCCATGAGTTTTAAGCTAAATTTCACCATAATTAGTGCATATATCTAAAACACCCATCATCCACCCCATCCCCATTCCAAAAAAAAGCACAAAGAATGGAGTATATTTAACACACATCCTGGAAATACTGACAGTAGTTTTCATTTTACTTCCTTTTAATGACTTTCTACTTTTCAAACATGTAATATGTTAAAATTTCCCTCACGTCCAGTGACAGAAAGATATTTTCCACTGTGCTATTCTAGAACTAATTCTGATGGTTTAAAACACCTCTGTTTTCTTCCTTATATATTAATTACATTTGTGTTTTTACCTTTTGTCAGGACTAAGTTTCTAAAAAAATATTAAGTCAATACTTTCATTAAGCTCTCTGTTGAAATGTTGTGAAAGATGCAAGCTCTGTTTCTTTCCATATTCCCAACATTCAAGCTTGACAATTTTGAGGAAAAAAGACTATGTAAAATGCAGTACACTGGAAGACTGCCACTCACAATACCAATGTACTCTTATAATGTTCCATTTCATCTACGAAATAGCAAACAGTAGCATCTTTATTTTATTATTCACGAAGCAATGTTATGGAAATATCAGAATGTTACAAATAAAAAGCATCCCCAAAAAATGCAATGAAAAGTCATTATTACACTTTTAGAATGCCAATATTATCAGAACAGAAATCAGGTGCCTGTGTTCAATCACTGTTTTCACATAGCTTCAGTTTTATTTCTATAGTCCTGAAATATACAGGTTAAATGAAGAGATACAGATTAACTCAGTATATCTCCATTAAGAAGTACTTTCAAGTTTAAAGCCTTTCTCTTCTGGAGTTTTAGATATTTCCATTCATATTACAACACTGTTTGAGTTGGGCCAGTTACCACTAGTTAATCACAATTACTTTTTGTTAGTTATGGGATACATTTCAGTCAAGTATTCGAGAATTTTAACACTGTCATTTTCATTTTAGCATTATTATTTCAGCACCTCTGTAGTCACAGAGCAATTCCTACACAGTACCTTAATTTTTTTTTCATCCATAATTTTCTGAATACGTTGTCTAAGAGGTTTTGGAGAAGATCCATTGGATTGTGCTGGAGATCTATTTTAAAAAGAGATAAGAAGCATTTAGAACATGTAAAAGCAATTAGTTAAGAAAAATAGTTGCCATACCAAGGTCCTCAGGAACAGGAAGGCAAGTATCTTCACCCTCCCAGCCTTACTTTTTTTCTCCCTTCATAAGTAACCACATGTACTGCGACAACTGAAGACAGCATAATGAAACCAAACCTACAGTTCCAACTTCTGGTATCATTTTGCAGTATGTTTACAGTATTGTATTTCCACAGCCACAGTGTTATTATTTGTAATGCTGGTGATGAGTTACCAAGTCACCATTCTACTTACACCCCCTTGAATAGCATCTGCTTTACATCCAGAATAATTTTCCTCATATTTACAGACCTTTCAACAGAAGTACTCACACAAACAAAATGCTTCCACTCTCCTACATTTCAGTGTGTGAATAGTTACGTACATTAACGTTCCTGAAATAAAACGAACTGATCTGTGCATTTGTAAATAATTACTTCTCTGTTTATGCTCATGGCAGGCGAGTGTGCATATGAGGACAGTTGTTTCAAAAATAACTCATTCATTATGCTATTTATATAGCTCATTCTATTCAATTACTCCATAAATAAAATTTATTTTACATAGCTCATTATTTTATTTATTTCTGCTTGTCTGTGGTGCAAGATTTCTGCAGGGCCTTGCAATGTTTTTGCTATTTAAATTGCCAAAATATGTAGCTTCATCATGCTGCTGTCTACACTGTTGTTCTGGTTTGTGAGTCCTTGTCGTAACCTGTAACGACAAAATTCTTAGTATCCCATTTTTCCAAAAAGAGATCATTCCTCAGTATAAGCAACTGATCAAACCATCACTGCTTCTCCATCCAGTGCATGGATAGCTTAGTTTCCATTTCAGTGCCCCCAGAAACGCTGTGTCAAGAGATTCTTTGTTTTTTCTTACACCAGATCAACATGGGTATTCCTTAGATAGAAGGAAATTTTGAAAAGCAAGAAAACAAATGAGCAAGTAATTTAACATTAATAGAATTGGAAGATCATGGGAATTATATAAATATATAGCAGGAGCAGAATGATATAAAAACAGTAGCAAACAAAAAGTTGCCCCAAACCTTTGAGAACCTGTTGAACCTGCAACACAATCGCTGCTTCTCAGCAGCAGCTTTTTTGCAGGATTTCAGTGCAGAGAGATAAATCTAGCTAATTGATACAGAAGTTTATTAAGACTAAAACAAAGGAAGAAAAATTCCTGAAATGCTGAAGTTTTGAAAATGAGGTGCTCTTATTTAACCTCTGTCTTCATCTGAAAACTAACAGTGCTCTCTCAAACTGACCAGAACCCAGACAAAACTACCCACAAACTTTAACCATATTTTGAGATTCTTCAGTAACAAAATATCTAGAAATAACAAAACCATTGTGAAAAACTTAAAAACAATAACTACCACGTGATTAAAAACCATAAAGCAATAACTACCATATGAGATGACCAACAATCTGATACACAGAATCAGATTAGCAAAAAGAATCAGAAAACAGCAGTAATGTTTAATGCAAAAAGAACTACCATTTATCCCGTAAATCATTCAAGATTTACTATTAACAATAGATTGGCAAAAAGACTGCAAACACTCTAGATCAAATACTTGAGACATAAGCATTAACAAAAAAGCACTGTAACATAGAGGCACCTGTACATGGACACAAATCAGAGTGACACACTGGTTACTATCCTGTGTAGTATTACAGTGTTCAGCATTCATAAAGCAATTGGAGCCTTACAGCAAAGCTGCTAGAGAAAAGCAAAACACAAAGATCTGATAAAAATTGGGAACAGGTGTTATCTGCAAGTTTCATTTCAGTTTTTGCAAAGTTTTTATATGCAAAATTTTATTTTTAAAGCAATAATTTAGGATCTTAAATTTAATACTTTGTATAAATTAAGTCTAAATCAATTTTTTTAAATGGAAGCACACGGATAATGTATAAAAAAATACATACTGGAAAATAAAATCTAAACCAAATTGACCCCTAAGATTTGCTAAGGAAAACACAAGAATTGTCTGGATTACAATATAAACTCCAAGATAGCAGTACCTGCTTACATCTACACCAAGAAAATACTAAGTCAAACAAACATTGTGTCCTTCTGGGGAAAATTCAAGAAGATTAATTCAGATGAAAACTCAAATGAGGTAAGTGAAACCAAAGTACCCAGTAGGCACGCTTATTCAGAAATAAGTGGTTTAAAACCCATTTTAAATTAAAGAGTTATTTAAAAAAAAAAGATCTCTAGCTCTGAGTAATAACAGTGTTTAATTCAGGAGGGGAATTCAGGTGGGCCTTGATTCCGTTCACATAAAGCATTAACCTAAATCTGATTAAGCTCTTTTTCATTCTGATAAAAATACAACCACAAGTGAGGCTTATTAAATTAATGAAACAATTTCAAAAGTAATGTCGATCAATTTTCCTGAATGTAAAGTAATGGAAAAATAAGAAACTGAAATCATTATTATTTTAAGCTTGTTACATAATGCAATAGAAATGTACAGCTACAGCTATGCACAGATATTTGAGAGATGAAAGAAATATTCCACAATATGTTGTTACAAGCTGCCTTTTACATTAAGAATTCTAAAGAAATGTGTAATAATTTTTATTAGTGAAACTATTTTTTAAGTTTTATTAGAATGTGCTTGTTCCTTTGCTTTCTGTTGTAATTTTGACCCTAGCTAGCAGAAAACACCACAACAACCACTCGCTTACCTTCCCCCCTCCCTGGGATGGAGAAAAGAAAGGGGTAAAAGGAAAAGAGACTCGTGTTGCCAAAGGAATTGGTAGAAAGATAAAAGAGGTCAAACAATAGATCTAATGGAACCCTTAAATTCTTCAACTTTTAGGATCCTTCATCTTCCAATTCAGGATCTATCATGTTTTACTCTTTCCTTGCTGTTATCTTCACCGCCTTGCACCTGCACACTCTGATAGGGTTGTTATGGTGGGCTCTCATGAGGAACGATTGCCACCAGCATAAGAAACACCACCTTCTTCCCTATTAGTCCTACCCTTTTCATTGTAGTTCTTTTATGTTAGGGAACCCCAAAATGTACATGCACAGAGCTTAATAAGCAACTGGCCACACAGCCCCTGTCCTGATGAACTCCAATCACCACTAAAAGGCACCAAAAGCCAGGACAACCAATAAAGGATTTTGAGCAGGTCCCTGGGAAAAGCACTATTGGGGAACCAGCCACTGTAGTAGAGAGGATGCTTCTCTGGGAACCTGGCTGCTTTACTGCCCAGCTGGCCACCAAGGAGAGTTTTCTCTTTCTTCTCCTCTTCCTCTCCCTCCTCTTTGGATTTTATTCCTCCCCGAAAGCAACTTTCACCACTAGAATCAATGTATGCCATCTGCTACAGTCCCTACTAATAAATCTTCATGCATGTGAATTTGTTTCAGTATCCTTTGTGCAATAATATCCTGATTGGTGGATTACAATATGAAAAACTATTTAACTATTTAAAGCTGTCTCCACAAAACAGTTTCTATGAAGGAAGAATTGTGTCATAGCTAGACAAAGGAGGCATCTTCAAATTGAATAGTAATCTAATTATCTACTGAACAGACAGTATTTGAACTTAGAAGTTCAAGCTCAACTTACACGGTATTTGGAAGGTTTGTTGCAAAGGATATTCTTGCACAGGTTTTGTGCAGCCCAGAAATGTGCTAGCTCAAAAGTCCACATTACAAAAGTTTCTTGAAGATACAGAAAATGAAAACGAGGAAGCAGAATACTTCAGAAAACATGAGACTGTTCTGCTTTCCTTTTACACTTACCCTGACAAAATATTTCACTTTGGTCATTTGCTTTGTGTAAGTAATAATGCTTTGTTAGCTGCTCGGTATAAGACCTTTGGGGAAAAACAAAACAAAACAAAACAGCCACACAAAACCAAACTAACCAATGATACAGAACACAAACACAAAAAAATTTGCAGTACTCACCTGAAGAGTGTCAAAAGAGAGGTGGTTCCAAACAAATTCAAGTTTTCATCATCATATAATAGTTCTGCTTTGTTCTGGGTAGGAGGATTGACAGCTTCTTCATCCAGAAGAACTAATAAGACCTTTACAGTATCTCTGCCACAATAAACAGTGCCATGATTTATGGAATGCAATTTTGGCTGAAAATAAATAAAAGGAACACAAAGCAGGAAATGTCAGCAAGCCAGAACAATTGCTCACCTTCAAAAGCAACCCATATCAGCCCAAGCTGAGAAAATCCCTTCCTTTCCTTTCCCAGTAAGCATTTATGGGGAGCCTGCCCATGGAAAAGTTTCTGCCTCATCCCAAGCAATTAGTAGAGTTTAGGTGACTATCAGCTGGAGGTATACATTGATGAGCAAGTCACACAAATAAATATACAAATCTGTCATGAAGCCATACGGCAGAAATTTACATTATCTTCTCACAAACAGTTTGAGTGCTATTGGGTACACAAATACATTCTGGTAAAGTCCAGCTACTCTAACTAACTGAATCTGCTAAAGCAGTTGGTTAAAAGTGAGATTTCCATCAAGATTTGACATCAGAGGTACTTGGCACAATCTCCTGCTGTTCGGAACAGGATTAATTCCTCACGATTTTCCACAAGAATAAAGAATTCCTTAAAGAAAATTATAATCCACATCTGGAAGTGCTCAATGCTACAGTCAGCAATACAGATGTAGAACTCCATAGCCACTATGGGACTGCAAGAATTGCAAGTTTGCTGCATTTTTATTTAAAAGTACTAGGAGTTTCATAGAGAAATTTAGGGCTTAATACACAGTAGTTGATTACTAAAAGCTATAGGCTTTCTTATTCACCAATACACAGAAACATTGAATAGCTTGACTTTGTTCAGAAGGGCAGGACAAGCAATGAACTGCATTTATCTAATCAGTTAACTGCTTTTAAACACAGTCATGAAAAGATCAAATTGTATTTCTCTCTCTATTTGATTACATCAATTAGTGTATGTAACTTTCAAGAAACCATAGCAACACATGTCAGTCAGTTACTATAAGTTATAATCAATAGCTATAAATAGCAATTACAGAAATGGTTGTCACTTGGTTTTACAGAATTGGCCTATTTCAGTACCATTTAATTTCCTCAAAATTTATTCTGAACCTCTTCAGTCATTACATCACCACATCATAGATTTTTATAAAATGTCATGGGTGTCACAGTAAATTTGTCTTAATGAGAAAAGTACAAATTCGGCATCATCTCAACTGATTATACACAAAGGAAAAAAGAATCTTTAGAATACAACATAACCAATTGTTGTGGTTTTAAGGCCACCCAGCAACTAAGCACCATGCAGCCTCTTGCTCTCTCCTCCCCTCCAGTGGGATGGTAAGGAGAACTGGGAGAAAAAAAGGTAAAAACCCCATGGTCTGAGGCAAGGGCAGGGAGGGTTCACTCACCACTTATGGTCATGGGCAAGAAACAGACTTGACTTGGGAAAACACAAAAACAATTTAATTTGTTAACAATCAAAACCAGAATAAGATAACGAGAAAGAGAACTACATCTTAAAAAGGCACTCTTAGCCACCTCTCCCCGACCCTTCCCTTTGTCACAGGCTCAAAGGCCTTGTTCCCAATTTCTCTACCTTTTCCCCACCCAGCAGTGCAGGGGGCAGGGAAGGGGGTTGTGGTCACTCCATCCTGTGTTGTCTCTGCTGCTCCTTCCTCCTCAGAGGAGTGCTCCTCACAGTCTTTCCCAGCATGGAGTCCCTCTCATGGGAGAGCTCTTCACAAATTGCTCCAATGCGAGTCCTTCCCACGGGCCGCAGTTCTCCACTAACTGCTCTGGCATGGATCCCTTCAACAAAATTCATGGTCTCCTTCAGGCATAGCTACTTCTTCCAACGTGGGGTCCTCTAAGGCTACAGGGTGGTATCTACTCCACCATTAAATCTCCATGAATTATAAAATTCTATGGACTGCACAGGTGGGTGCAGCTATCTATCTGAACATGGGGTCCTCCATGGGCTTGCAAGAGAATCTCTGGTCCGGCACCTCCTCCCTCTCCTTTGTCTTCACTGACCTTCATGTCCAAGTAGTTGTCTCTCTCATATCCCACTTCTCTTTCCACTGCAGCTTCTTTCGCTGTCTCCTGAAAAAACTCCCAGCTCTCAGGCAGGGGGTGCAGCAGAGATTTGGGCAGCAGCAGCAGATTTAGGTTGCAGCAGAGGCTGGGCAGGCAGTTGGATGGACCGGCAGGGCCAGGCCCTGCTTGGGGCTGCTTCACCACAACATGCACTGTGCCCTGTCTCCAATATGTCATTCCCAGAGATGCTGAATGGCTCAGCCTTGGCCGGAGGCAGCTCCGGCTTAGAGTCAGGGAAACTTCCAGCAGTTTCTCATGGGGGCCATCTCTGTAGTGCTCCCCCCCCTCCCATGCCGCTACCAAAACCTTGGAGCCGGGGGAACTTCTAGCAGTTACTTACAGAAACCAGCATTGTAGGCACTCCCTCGCTACCAAAAAATGCACCACACAAAAACACACCACCTCCTAGCTGCCAAAAGGTGACCCTCAGAAATCTCATGTACTACAACAGTGACTTGGTGTACTACAATGCACGAAAATCCTATTGTCCAATGCACAATAAGACCTTTAAGCAACTCAACAATCCGTGCCATAAAAATATTATTAGTAAGCTTAAAACCATCATTCAAATTATGTTTTCAAGAAAAGAGTTGAAGAGCCTTTCAAGGGTAGTGACCATTAGATACTCCAGACTATTCTGGCTAGTTCATAGAATGGTTTGGGTTGGAAGGGACCTTAAAGATCATCTAGTTCCAAACCCCCCTGCTATGGG